CCCGCTTGTTCAGGTCGACATCGGCCTTCTTGCACACCAAGTTGGAGTAGCGGCGACCGACACCCTTGATCTTGGTCAAGGAGTAGACGACCTTCTGCTTGCCGTCAACGCTGTTTGCGGGTTAGCATCCCTTTTCCAACTGCCCAGGTTGTGATCCGAGTTCTGTGGGCCGAGGGTTCGATCGAGGGATACGTACTTGGTGTTGAGCAGACGCAAGATGTGGTTGAAGTTGCTCTGGTTGAACGTTAGCCTATGCTCGCCCATCTCAAGTGTCATGTCGGCAATCCCCAGCAACTCGCTGGTTCTGTCACTGCTCCAAAAGTGCTGGTTCTGCGTGCCCTGCTCGAAGTGTCGAAATCGCGCTGGTCTCTCTGAAGTTGCCGACGCGGTGTGGTGGTGTTGATCGATCGGCTGTTGTCCATCGCCAGAACTGGAGGTACTAGAAGTAGGCCTTGTGCGGCCCTGCTCTCGTCCAGAAAAGAATTCATCTCTTCCAACTCTACCCAGCACCACACCGCCAGTCGGCTATTCGTTCCGTCGGTCGCTTGATGGTCTGATTGATTGATATCGAGTATATTTGCGAGCCCGAGCACGCAGCTCCTAGTACAGAGCCCTTATCTCAGTGCGGTTTATCGTGTGTATGTGCGCATGTTCGAAATTTGTGTCGATCGGGATCCAGTGGAGGCGCGACGACGGCGACAACGCAGCAACAGGTTTCGCAAGCCGGCGGACATATCGACAGACAGAATTGTTGCACTGAGAAAAATCGGAAACGTACCTTCTCTCCCGACACCAAACTCATGATGGGCAACTATTTCGAGACTGGGCGGCCTCGATATCGTTGTCGGTGATTTGGTGTTGTCTGGTTGGAGGTTCGTGGAATTTAGCACACTGCGAATTTGAGCCTTGCTAGGTTTTCGATAAATTTGTGTGTGGTCACGTGGTGGGGCAAGCAGAAGCTCCTCGGAATGGGTGGCCTGGAAGTGGCCTGAGGCCGACTGTCGTTGGGAGAGAGAAGTGGGGCGTTTGTCTTATCGGCTTTTCCCTTTTGACCCTTCCAAGTACACTCACTCCCGTGACTCCCCCAACAAACATCTCGATCCCTCTTTAGGGACCAAAATTGCTGTGTTACCCCCGAAATCTTGCCTTATGTTGAACCCTCGTCGGGACTAAATTGCAGTGCTGAGAGCCATAAGGCATCGCCCGCCCCCGGCAGTGCGAATAGCTTCAGACTATTACTAGAGGGGAATTCGAACTGGAAAACATGGACCTCTCCGAACCACCGATGCCCTCCCTCTCAACAAGAAAGCAAAACACCACTTCCAAATAGTTACTGCCTTATAAGCTCATCAATACTATATTATAGCTATCCTATGTACCAGCCTTCCGTTTGCACAGGTTCCAGCCTTACACAATGACACACTTTCCCCCGACCGTTACCATCATTCATCACTCAAACACACAAATATATATACCTGTATTGACTCCGCCCGCCAATTAAACGCCAAGGGGTATGTAAGAAAGACAAGAACAAGGTTGTACATAAAGATCGAAAAGAAGAGAAGAAACGGAAAAGGGCACACATATTCAGAGAGACCGGCATACACCAAAAACCTCAACTCGGTTGCTGAGCCCTCTATTCTGCCTTGCTCTCCTCCTCTTCCGCTTTCTTAGCCTCCTCATCTTTCCTCTTCGCATCCTCTTCCGCATTCTTGTGTTCCTCAGCCTTCTTGTCTTCCTCAGCCTTCTTAGCCTCCTCCTCCTGCTTCTTCTTCTCATCATCTTGATTCTGATTCTGCTGTTGCGCCTGCTGCTGCTTAGCCAGCTCAACCAAATCAGGATGCGCAGCCAAAACACTAGGTGGAATAATCGGCACACCACCGCCCAGCTGCAGACTCGCAAGCTGCACAGTCACAGCCTGCTGCAAGCTCGCAAATACCGCGGCAGCTTGTAGTTGGGCAGTAATAAACGAGTTGGCCGCCGCCAGCTGCAGGCAATCATTCTGGAAAGTGTTCACGTCAGAGACTAACAGATTGCTCTGGTCCGCAAAAATTATATTGGCCGGGTCGTCGACGACCAGCGCGCCTGCCGGTGCTGACGTGTTGTACGGCAGGATGAGAGACGAGTTGAGCAGCGCGAAGGGCGCGTTGGCGTCGAAGTTGATGACGTTGCCTCCTATCGACGCTGAGGCAGTTGCTGATGCAGAAGCGGACGTAGCGGTCGCTTCACTGGATATGGTCATCTCTTCCTTTTCGGTGACGTACACGACCAGCTCCTGGTCTGGGCGGCCGTTGTCGATGCGCAGCTGGTTCATCAGGTACCGCCTGTTGACGTTCGTGAGGTCGCGCGCGTCGACGATGTTGGTTATTGTTACGATGACGGTGTTCTATGACAACATATGCAATGTTAACCTTCTGTATTGATATAAGAGTTAGGTAGAGGGGTGCTTACGACTTGTGAGAACCGCGCCTTGAAGTGGTTAAGACGGATGTTGTTCTTGATGGTCTCGAGCTGCGTGACCAGCGCGACCTGAGCCTGCACGCGCGCGACGAGCTCCTGCTCGGCGATCTGCACCAGCTGGCTGATCACACCGAGGTTCTGCTCGACGACCGTGATCTGGGTGTTTTGGATGTTGATGACGTTGTTCTGCGCGACTACCGGTACTTGCCGTCTAGTCCTGTGCCGAAGACCTCTCTGGGCTGCTGGCATCATGACATCTCTTGGTTGCTCAACTGACGCCGGGGCTGTTGTCACTGTGTTAGTCCTTGCTGGTCTGTAGATACCATGGATGATCACTCACCAGCTGCCACAAGGGAAAGCGAGCCCGCCAGGGCCGCTGTCAGTATCTGTCTACAGCGCATCGTGACAGTGATTATATGAAGTAGAAAGATGAAGAAGTATGTATGTATGCTCCAGGCAGGCCAGAATATTTACTTGAGAATCAAAAGAATGTCCTATCAAAGGAGTGTGTGTATAAGTCAAAAAGAAGAAGAGAAAACCTAGCAAGGCCGCCTGGGCATTCAACCGATCAAAAGGAAAGACTTGAAGAAAAAAAGGCAAGTGGTAACGAGAGAGAGAGAGCAGCGATCATCACAATCAATAGCAGGCAGATCAAGATGATGCGAAAGAGTACTCATATTATAGGATCACCACTCTGGGTCGTCCGCCGCGAGCAGATCACGGACAATCATCACGGCTTCATGTAACCGGCTATTTGGCTTTCCGTTCCATGACCTTTTTCCCTCCCTCTGGTCTTGGCAAACAGGAGTATGTACGGAATAGAGGGGAACACCAGACAGAGCCTAAGGAAGATAGTAGTTCTAGAAGTACAGTCATATGGGTGACGGGGCTGTTGGTTTCGAACAGTGTGGACGTGGTGCCATGTGCCATTTCTGGTTCGGGACCCTGGCCGGTATTCTCAATGCTTAACTCTGCGTACCGATACAGTTGACAGCGGTGAGAGTGAGAGTGAGTGCTGAGACACCATCTGAAGGTCTGAAGTGCGTGCGAAGCGTCCGAGCGGTACCAAGGTTGTGCACTCAGAAGACCAGCCAATTGACGACTAAATCACGCTGTTTTGAGCCGCCGTTCGATGAGGCTCTTACCCCCCACGGCGGGATCCATGAACGTCGATGATACACAAGAAGCTTCGAACTTGGCGTTGTACTGTTAATGCTTTATTTAGCCAGCCAACCAGCCTGTTTCGTCACCTTTCAACAAATAGTCGTCAAAATATGCCAAGTTGAACAACGATGGATGCTTGCTGGTGATTAATCTTGGATAAAGGCTTCTTTCCTGGCAAACTGAATAGATCGTCCTGAAGTTCTCGGTTCGATGTCGCCTGCGCATCGGTTGCACCTGTCAGTTCCAGAGAGGCGGGAATGATGTGTGGAGTGCGATCGGCCGTGAATGAAGGGGACACAGTCGGTTGGAAGAAGGACTGCTGCACCGGACAGCTGCATGCACCTGTCAGGGCTTTGATCGTGGTTGTGCTGTTACGGAATAGTGCAGGCCACATAAATGGCTGGTTCACTCTAACATATCGAGCACTGGACTCCACTCACAGCATTGCTCGGCGCCACCAAACTTTCGCTTCTCGGTTTCGTTTTTTCGTTTCCCAAAACACACGACACAACTGCACCAGCCTGTGACTGCCACTCCTTCACCACAACCAAAACCCAACTGTTTGCCGACCAAGACAGACAAGGCATAATATATGTGCCCGATTACCTATTTCCGAGCGAAATAGGTGTCTCCGTCTAAACAGCTGGGTTTCAAGTGTTGCGAAGCAAGCAGCTCACATGCAGATTGCGATTATATCTCTTCTGTCCGGAGAAATTGAGGATTTGTTGCCAATCTTCCGCCACCAGTAATTGCTGGTTAGGTGATCGTCTTCTGCCTGATTCGGCCAACCATTACCTCCCCCTTGGTTGCGTCTTGAGTCCCAGGATGCGCACCACTCATCAACGATGAGTTTGTGTATTAGACAAGAGAAATGCAATGCTTTTTGAGTACGGAACCTTTTTTTTTCTCCTATGGGGGCTTTCGTAATTTATCTGTTGCAACATCTATCTGTCCTTGACCTTTCGGCTCTTCTTGTCCATGTCACGGACGAAATAGAAGACTGCGACACGGGGTCTAAAGTAGGGCAGGACCAGGACCGCCGAAGATGAATGTTTTCCTCTTCGTGTCCAAGCGGGTGAAGGCTCTCGGGTGACATGTTCTAGATAACCGGCTGCAAAATCGTCCACAGGGCCCTTAGCTGCACCATCAGATGACGTCGTTCATGGCCCGAAGATATATCTCAGTATAAATATAATATCCCGTCACAAAGTTCTTCAGCAACATGCTTTCATATATTGACTGCAGCCACAATATGGTATTCCAGCGGAAACCAAATAGAAAGAAATCTTGGGACATCTTGCAATGAGCTAGGTACGGGTTACATAACCCAGAAATATACTGCTCAAAAAATATCAAAAGCAACCCACTGCTCAAATGGTCGGGTGGCGCAATTGGTAGCGCGTTACTTTCCGGTTGAAAAACATTCTGGAACTCTAGGGATCCTGGTGAAACATCCTCAGTTGGTAAAGGTTCTGGGTTCGAGTCCCAGCTCGATCGTTCTCTTTTTGACCAGACCCCGAGGGACTTGTTTCCATCGATGATTCTTTCTTTGCCGATAGAAGCTTGCCAGTCAGTCAGTGTTGACTCGACCGTCTTAGACAAGTCCAAAAATAGGGGCTTCATATTAACTAACAACAGCATCCCATCTCACTCACCATCACATCTTCAGCAAAACAGATAAAAAACTCTCATTCCAACAACAATAACATCCACCCCGACCGACTCAAAATACACATGGCCACCAACCTACGCCGCTGTCCTCTCCATAATCCCCTTAAAATTTTATGCAACATCTCCTGATTGTCGTAAATAATCGTGCTAAAAACCAAACATCGTACTTATAAACAGAACATGGTACTGAAAACAAAACAATGTGCCCAAAAACAAAACCAGCGGCTCACCACCTACGGTAGCTATTGATACTTCTCCGATATCTAGCACACCGTTCTTCAGCCTGGAATCTTTCTTCGGTTATATCGTGATATGTAGATTCTCAGGATCATCCTCCTGGAGTAACCTCGCATCGAGGTGCCAAAGCTCCCCGATTTCTTGTGCGTTCTGCTCAGCTGTTGTCTTTGGGGCCTCTTGAATCCCAGCAGAGGTTTTGTGAATCTTTGTCGATAACCCGCCAGATGGGCAGCGATTGCACAAATGAGCGACTCGTCTCTTGACCACCGGGCAGGTTTCGCTGAAGTCATGCTGAGCTGGCTTCCTCTTGAAGTCGGTCAACCAATCATCCAGTGCACGCCGAAATGAGCGTTTATAGTTGCCCAACTTATTGACGAGGCGTCGATCCTGGCGTCGACAGTGTCGGACTGCTGCTCCACGGTAATCCTGGCTTGGGCAACTTGGCCTTTTGTCCAAGGGATAGTCTTGCTCGCCGGGGGCTTGCTCACATCCCCAGTGTGGCATCTTGGGGAAATCATAGATTTACCGGAGCAGCTGGCCTTGAAAATCCGGGTGGTGTACTTCCCCAAAGCTTCCATCCGCGGTTGTATGGGAATTCACTTTTGGTTCTGGTAGGGTTCTCGTGGTTCTCAGTCAGCTTCTCGACTTTGCCAACTCTGGTGGCCAAGACCGCAAGATCTGCCACGGTACCGTAGCTTGCGGATAGGCCTTCAATTCTAGTGACTCTAGACGTTAGAGTCGTAACGTCAGCCGCAGCACCGTACTTTGCACACTGGTTCTCCATGCTTGTGACTCTAGCCTCGAGGGCGGCGAGGCCTGCGGCGGCACTGTAGTTTGCGGACTGGTCTTCTAGTGCCGTAATCCTTGCCGCAAGGTCCTGAAGGTCCGAATCTGCGTTGGTTTTCGCTTCCGTCAGCTCCGTCCGGAGATTGGTAATTCTTGTGTCCGTAAAGATCATCTCCTGGATTGCTGTGCGGAGGTCGATTGTGCCATTTGCAAGCTGGGCAAGGATGATGGTGTTTACAGCAGCCTCCTTTTCTGCGGCTTTGCGGTCCTTCCATGTCTTGGGCATAGGGAGGGCGAAGTCATCGAGGATCGATTCCTCGCCCTCCTCCATCTCCGAAGCCATATCGGCGCCAAATTCGTCCGGGGAAAAAAGGGGTTGAAGAACATATCATCGTCCAGTCTCCATATCGCGATGAAACCGCCCACCATGAACGGTTTGTCCTAGGCCGAGGCACCTCTCTCACAGCCTAGGAGAAGAAAAGGATGGTATTCGTGAAGAGTAGTCAGTCGTCAGTCGTAAGGGCATCGACAAACTTTTGACACTCGAAACTGACCGACATCCATACGAAAGCTAAGGTAAGCGCAATCCAATGTTTGGCCTTTTTGGCCGAATCAACCCCGGGCGGTCTCCGGAATTCGATCGAACCGGACTTGCCGGTTCGGGAAGGTAAAAAATACCAAGCTTGGTGCTTGGAAGGGGATATAAACTCCACGAGGTTGTTCCGATCGAGTGTATCGATCGTGGTGTAGACTTTCTCCAGCCCATGGAGCGGGCCATATCGTTGCATTGATGACGGCGGCCTTCTTATGCTTACTGCCCAGTTTGAACCGGCTGAGAACCGCGGTCAGCGTTAAGACTGTAGCTGGCTCTGGCTGTTCTTGTGAATCCTGTCTGACCCAGGGTCGCAATTTTTGAATGCTTCGACGTCCCAGCCCTCGGCCTTGATATGGGAAATGGATGACTCGTGGTTCTTCTTCCCTTCCAACCAACCACCTGTTAGCGAAGCTTTGAACATCGGCGATGTAAGGCAAAGATGTCGAGATGAGGCAAGGTATGTGATGGAGTTGGTGCTGCTTCCGAGGAGGGTGATGACAACATCCGCATCGGACGCACAAAGTCGCTTTCACTTCGCCAGGCACTGCAAACGCGTTCTGGTGCAGCACATGGCCTCGGTGATATGGTGCCAGTTAATCAAATTTTCGACCGACTTCTCAGTCAACTTTTGAGATGCTCGAGATGCTTGAGGTGCCTGAGATACGTTAAAAGTGTTCTCCTTGGCCCGACCAGCCCGGATAGCCACTACCGCGTGCTCAATCGCCCGATAGAACAACCCTTCCTCCTCGGCTGACCACTCTTTCTCATTGGCCTTTCCCCGGTATCTAAGGTAGTTCCTCCACTTGTCCCTGACGTCCTGTGGGCGACGATTTATTAGGCCGCCGATCGCACCCGGAGGGTCTCCTAAGGTACTGTGGGATTGACCGGACCGCCTGTTGTCAAGTCAGGTTCATCGCCTCTCCCGGTATCTTCCTCGTCGCTGTTGCGCCCGGAATAACTGGGAACTATCCGTGCATGAGCACCCCATATTGACAGGAATACGGCATCCTCTCTTTCCCGCACCGCCCTCTCCACGGCCTCCTTTGCGAGCAGGATGGCCCTCCACCTTGAGGATGGTGGTCGGGTATTTGATATTCTGGCTGTTGGAGAGTATAATCATACAACGAGGAATGTGATCTGATCAAGGACACATGGTACGGAGACCAATATAAACTGGACCAAACTGCGACAAAGCTCATTTGGAATCGGAACCTGAGTTTGAAGTCTCTGGACCCACGTCTCGGAGTACCGGCAAACGCTTCGTGCATCTGGTAGTAGTCGACAATGAGCGCCGACTTCGCAAGCATGTCGAGCGTAACAGTACCGGGAGTTCGCGCGCCACGCCCGGCCTTGAAGCTGTTGTAGTACGGCCACTGATGCCGCTGAGGCTTGCGTTGGCGGCGGGCTGTCGGCCAACTGCATGAGACGAGCCTCTCGCTTCCAGTCGTTGCTTTCCTCCGGTGGTGGGTTTGACCTGGTCCAATCACCCCAATTATTGAGGTTAGAGGTGTTGTCCTCCTCGGTGTCGTCGTCCTCAGGACCATCATGGCCACCGTCAGAACCGCTATTGTTATCTGTAATGTTGAATGGACACGCCGGGGGATGCTTCTTGTGAAGACTTGGAGGGGGTTATAGAGTAGGTTGGCTAGGAGAACCGGGAACAGGGAGGCCTTGAGGAATCTGCCTCGGAGTGTAGGTTGAAATATTTGGCATGGGCCTCGGGGGTCCGCAGATTGGACTCGCAGAAGCCTGTCGCTCCATCTCCCCTACAAAGAGGGCAACATCTTGCCATCGCCGGCTTCTAAAATGCGAGTGCCTTGGCAATGTTCTTCAGCCTGGGGCGGGCATAGTAGCGATCTTGCTAAAAGAATATGAAGATGGAAAGCCGCAAAGCCGGCTCAACTGCCAGAACATCACCATCCTGATTTTCAACAACAATATGACCACCCTCATCATACACCTCAACCCCTCTAACAGGTTGCTCATCTGGAGAGGCTTGCTCGCTAGTGGTTCTCTCGTGTCGTGGAGCTACCCCGGTATCATGGTACGTCAGGTTAGTGACTCATCGAGGTCCATATCGTCCTGTGGATCTGGCACGAAGCCGGTTTGATGGTATGTAGGAGGTCGCGGTGTTGGCGGGCATGGCCAGCGCCGCAAGCTCTGCCTGCGTTCCCGCATTCCGTTAGCATCATCCGGAATGCACATATAAAAATCAAGACGTACCCTGCGCTTGGCCAAAGCCGCCTCGGCATCGCTGCCGAGCGCGTCCTACCAGACACATATTAGCTTATCACCGAGGAATGCGGTATGTGATGAAGTACATACCGGTGCACACGATGGTGCTACTGCAGAACGCGCCTTGTTCAACATACCGGGGTGCACGATGGCGCGGTCGTGAGCATTCTCGAGAGTTGATCTCCGACAAGCGCTGGAAGGGCATGAGATTGAAGTTTCGGTGTTCCTTCTGGCTCGCACCAGCGCCAGCGTAGAAGGACCTTGAACTCGGCTCCGAAGCAGAAGGGAACGTCATCGATGTTGACACTCATGGCAGGCGCGGCCTTGGGATTCGGTGCTGTTCTGCATCTTACCGCCGACGCCGTAAGGCTGTATACGCGCTTTCCAAGTCTCCACGACGACGACTGGGTATCCAAGCTAGGTAGGTATTAGCTCTAATTAATATAAACGGAAAGTACAAACCGTTTGGAATGGATGAAAAGACGGACGGGACAAACCAAAATATAGGATAAGACAAGACGCGTCTTTATATGAAGTACCGCATACTTTCATCCGATCATCCCTTAGACCGTTACTTCTTTCTTAGTAGGCTGGTTATGTTGACTCGACCGTCTTGGGCGAGTCCCATAGGGGCTTCATAGCAGCGCCATCCCTGCTTATCATCATCATATCCCTATGCGAAGTGTTACTGTTTTCCTTTCATGTCTAGCACCATAAAGAAACCTTAATATCTTTCCAATTCTTCAACCCCTATTCTAAAATGTGCAAGTCAGTATCCCAAACGCCAATGCTATACATCCATCCAATACCGCAAAATGTACAATGCCCCAACATCCAAGTCTAATCCAGAACATACAAGACAACTAATATCTCATCCACCAACCATAGCCGTCCCCCAAAACATCACCAAACCAATTATCCCCGGCACTACCCCTATTATCCTCCTTCCACCCGCCACCCCCGACGTCGTACT